ATATATTAATATATTATATTATATATATTAATATTATTAAATGATTAAATCAGCATATTATTCGCTACTAAAATCATGCAAATATCGTTTAATGCCCTTTCTTATTGTGTGTGTGTATGTGTGCACACGTGTAACTAAAATAATCAAGAGTGTTGGTTAATATAATAATACAGTAATATCTCCAAAATAACAAACAATTGCGACTTAATAATTTTACAAGGGTTTCATGTCTTACTTATTGAAAAATGTTCAGACTATCGTTTCAAAAAGTCTTATTTCACAATCTAATTTTTTGTCGCATACATAAAATAATTGCATATTACATACCCGGTGCTTTCGGCGGACGTGGAAATGAGACTCTTTCGGGCTGTTTGCGTTGTGCTGGTGCAGTCAGTGTCAACCAGTCCCAGTCACCGGGCTGTCGAGGTGCTGGATGATCACCTAAGCGCGAGGCGATGTCGATCACTTGGGGACGCGGCCGAGGCCGTACGGCGCGTGCAAGGATACGTAGTTCCGTAGGTGTTTTAGATGCCAGCTGGGCGCATAGGTGCCGCAACGGCGCGGCATTCACCGTCTGATGGGGCGCCCGCGCGGCGTGACGTGTGCGCAATTGTGCGGCGCACAGACGTCGCGCGGCGCGCGCCAGCAAGGAGGTGCGCAAGTAGAACGCGGACCGGGTTTTCATAACCGGCCGCGGCGATCCGCCGCCGCCGCCGCCGCTTCCGGCGGTGCCGCGCAGATCCACTCCATGCGCACTCGCGTAGTGACGACTCAAGTGAGCCTTCAGTTTGAACTCCTTGCCACAGGAGGGAATGCTACATCGATGCGGCCTGTGCGCGCCGCTCATCCCCTTGCTCTCTTCGTCCGAACCGGCGCCGGCGCGTTTCCTATCGAGATCGACGTCGTCTATGCGCGACGGTACCTTTTGTGGCAAAAAGAAAAAATAACATGAAATGTAAGTTCGTTAGTATCACAGTAATCTTGTGTTGTCATTGAATCGATCTACACATACTTTGAGCCCTCCATATTTCTTCCAGTATGTCCAACAAGATTGGCAAAGACGGTATTGCATATGCGTCGGTCCCCAAGAATACCACTGTGAACTTTGAACGACCTGACAACCCTCGCAAGGTTTTCCACCTACTCCGACCATAAGTATTCCGGAATTGTCACCCATCATGCTGCCATTACTATTACCGTTTAAAACACTTGTTGGCTTTCCGTTACTGTTATTATTACTATTGCCCAAAGGTACAATCGTGGCGGTGGAAGGAGCAGTGGTCGACGTAGGAGTTTTATTATAATTCGGTATGTAAACTTGCTTCAGCTTACTTTCCGCTTCTACAGCTTTCACTCTCTTCTGCTGGACATACCGATCTGTCGTTTTCCACATATAATAATATTCAATTACGTTCTTTAACGATTTCCATGGTAACTGAAAAAACATAAAAAATGTTTAAAAATTTGTTTATACATAGCTGTATTTTTACGGTACATAAATATACATAAATTATTAGCTGACTATTGGGTCGTTCATTGTAAATAATACCAATTATGTCGTTCATTGTACGTTTACATATATTGCCAAGGTCTTCTATAAACGACACAACACTCGACTGATACTTTATGTAATTACCCTTATTTAAGACGTGCTTACAAAGTCCGCTCGTATATCCGCAAAATCCTTTCCATATTTTTCAAGCGCCTCTTCGAACAGATTCGCTTCGGATGCACTCCATTCCTCCATCTCATCCCGACACAATACGGGGCCGGTACTAGGTACTAGAGATGCTAAGGCATTCGATAAGTCGTAGGCATGCAGATGCAATGTGTCCATCGCATGAAACTGTAACATAATTAAAATTTAATGAAATAACAATACTCTCTCTAAGAATATCAATTTAACTATTTATATTTATCTCTGTCCATAGTGCACCGAATGTTTCTCACCAGAGTAATATCTCTAGATGCAGCAGCTGCGGACATATGCAGGGAGGGCTGCTTAATGGAGGACGAACAGTCTAAGGCTCTCGCGAAGGTGCCTACTGATCTGCTAACGACGAGGAATTGATCAATTTGACGATCTGTCAAATCGTGTTTCGGAGTCCAAACCAAAGACTCCAAGTCTTGTAACCTGCGAGTATCCGTCTCTCTTTCTGACAATGTCAATATCGCCGGTATTTCTGTTGCTTGATATCTATTACCTACTCTAATTTCGCCTATAATGTGACAAATATTATTTTGTTAATTTTAATTTGTACCGTGTATACTGTACGTAATAGAATGCACTCTCACCTTTGTCAGCAAGTAAAGTACGCTGAGCAGGGTCAAATACTAAACAGTAAAAAAATGAATCCTCCTTGTTTAGATAGCTCGTCAATGATTCGGTTTCATTCAATAACGTAACGCAGCATTTGCCCCTGATGTGTGTGGCCGGCATAGTTTCCACTTGTCGCGACAAAAACAGCTCTCGATGTTTCATTTGATGCCGTTGTTTAGAACTTAATTCGGTTACACCTCCGGGAACACCTTCTTCCATCCCTATACGTAATAAAAAAAGTGAAATAATATTTGTGCCATATATCGAGATAAAATATATCATTTCGTGTAAAACACTATAAGTTTGATTTACAAAAAAATTTACCAACATTGAAGAAGTTAAAAAGCTGAATAATCATATATATATACACATACACACAGTATCCACCCACCCACACACACACACTCACACACACACATATACACACATATATATATATGTATCGAATAAAATGATACGTTTAATTTTTCAAACAAATTATTAATTGTTACATTTTACTTTTTATTAATACATATACTGATTAAAAGCAGTCACATCGCTATAAAAAAGACATCATTTTCTAAACGACATGCAGAAGAAAAGTATGCAATAATGATACGATCTATTGTATCCAATATAAATGTAAAAGCTACGCGAGAGAAAACGAAATGTTTAAATTTTTTTCTCATACTTGAACATCCATAAAGCTATTTATTTTTATTTTTCATTATCATTTTTGTCGCTTTAGCTTTTAATTAATTGTCCTAATGATTTCTTTAATGAAATTTGATATTGATTTGGTATCGAGTGGAAGTTGATTTATGCGACGTCTTGCAGCTTTCGATTAACCCAAGACTAACTTGTCCTGAGTAGCATTATCTTTTTAATTAATCTCTTACTCATCTATTTCACAGGAAATTAAAGTAATGAAATAAAATGAAATACAGGGACACGGCAGAATCAATGAAAATTCGAGCACGATACTAAACCAAAAAAAGAAACATCAGCAAGAGCGGGCAACAAAAGGCAAACGAAGAATAATTGCAAGGCAAAAACAATAATCCGCAACGGAAAGGAGATTAACTGTCGATAAAAAATTATATCATTTAGAGAAGCCTCAGATTACTAAAGTGTCATCGCAAGTACAATGCGGCGGGATTCATTTTTAATCTATGTATGAATGACAATGAGGATGTATCGCGGTGACAAATGGACTGTAATAAATTGACGATAAATCGGGAAAATCGAGAATGTTTAAAGCTGCTGAATGGACAAGATCAGAAAGGTGAAATAAGATGTTCACGAGAGAATCTGCTGTTTTAAATATAAAAGATGCTGTATTAAATGCGAAAAGTCAATAATACTAGATAAGGTATTTATATGAACGATTGGGAGTGAATGCATGCAAATGAATGATTTGTATGGGCATTTTGATAAGTCACCAAACTCCTTGTCAATTAACTAAAAGAAAGAAGCCTGATTATGCCCAATTTATTGTCTCTTTGGCCTTACAGTGAAATTTGTCTTGACTCGCGACATACACCAAGATTACAAAGAATTTTGATAAATCCCGCCGCTAAATCAGTAGCCTTGTATCGTCACTGGCTTCTATATAAGACTAATGAGATAAATCAAAAGATGCGAGTTGTATACCGTTTACCGACAAATCTACTAAACGCTTTGGAATTACGAAAACATTTAATTTCAATTTTTGAATAATATATTAAAATGTGATAAAGCTTTTATAATTCAATATATAACTATATTGCTGTGTAACTATTTTAAATAATTATTTATTTGAATGTCAATTTTTTAATAGAATTGTAAATGTTCTACAATAAAGTATTAAACATATTTGTATTCTCTTTTAAAAGTGGCCGTTTGACATTCGCAAACACATGATAAAAATAAAATAAAATTCCAAGTCAGCAATTATAATATTCAGCGAAAAATGCATAAAAATCAAATTTTGTGTACAAACAAACGTTTATACACTTCTTAAAGTAATTATGTATGCAATCGCTATTTCGCAAATACAAAGCTCGATTAGATTCGTCGGTAATGGTCATCTTTTGATTAACTACTCTCACTCACCATGGGGCTCTTGGGCCTCTGATAATGGGGCCTTCAGCCAGCCCCCTTTCCCGCCCCCTTTGATCATCACTTTGGGCCCGATACCATCTTTATTAGTCATTTCCTTAGTAGTGTCGGGATTCTCGAGTTTCGGATTCTGTGTACTCGCAGGGGATTCTGACCTCTGCTGCTCCGCGCTTGCCACTGGAATTTTCATTACAAGAAACCCATTCTACGTATCTCTCTTTTTCTAATTTGGTACACAATAACGCAGAAAGATACACGTATGACTGTAGTGCTAAGCGCAATCGTCTCATCTTAGAGCCCTTACGAAACTCTACCGAATCGTCCACCTCTTACGTTCTTTACGCTTTTATATTATATCGATTCGCACGCTAGTCGACACGTCGTCCGGTTCATCAAGTGCAATCGTGATTGCGCAATTGCGTTACGTGCGATTCGCGATTATGATTATCTCGGCCGATTCCGTCCGCGTTTCTATTTACCATTCATAGCTCCACATCGTATTTTCATTCGTGCGACGTACGAGATCAATACCTCCACCACGTTGACCGTTTCTCCGCGGGATCAAAATACCACCTTCAGCGTCGAATCCTCATTTCGAGTTTCACAGACGTGCGTAAAACGACGAGTAGATACCGCGTAATTAGCGCCCGTGCATTTTTGAGTCGGCGTTTCCTCGGCGAGCGCGCTTGGAAAAGCGCGTGGAACAAAAGGTGGCGAATCGTCGGCGCCTCGCGATCGACCGGCCATTACGAGCAGAATAAAAATTCATTATAGTCAGCCGGACTTTTGCCATCGTCTAATTAGCCATTGATCCGTTCAACGCGGTTGATCCGTATACGCCGTATAACGTTTCGCCGGCCGGCATAAGTTGAAACCGATTTCTCTATACAGCCCTTTTCCTTCGACTCCCGTTTGTCCTTTCGTTTCCCGCTTAGTCACACGCGGACACACCCGGGTGCGATAGCGACCGTGGTGCGTGTGTATCGACTTCCGCGAAAGACAAAGGAGAAAACGTATATTCTTTTTTTTTTTTACGCGAAAATTCGAGGTACCTCGGAGGAGCAAAACTGAGAGAGAATGAGAGAAAATAACGAAAAGAGGGAAGAGAACCCAATTCGGAGCAAATACCGCCGGACGAACGCATATACATGGACAACGTTACATACATACATACATATACATACACACATATACACACACACATACATGTATATAAATTTTTATACACGCGCAAACCCGGAGAGAGAGATGTACATATAATATATATATATATATACATACACACGGGGCGCGAAAGAAGAGAAGAGGAAGAAGAGGAGAGGAATAAAGGGGGGAAAAGGGGAGAGTTTGGCGAGGCAAGGGGGACGAACGTACGGGGGAGAGTGGTAGCAAATGCTTAAAACGAAGATGGCTAGTGGGGCCCACCATTTTCGCCCGGGCACACACGTACACACGTGTCGGTGTGCGTCGGTGGGGAAATACACGTAACATATACCCAAGCAACCCCTGCGTCAGCCATCCATTTAGTTGAGGGTGGTGGGTGGACCGAGTGGGTGTAGGGGGGAAAAAGGGGGGTGGAGGAGGAGGGTCGGGAGGTAGATGGAGATGGAGGAGGATGAGGAGGTGGAAAAGGGGGACCTAGCGGGTGCACCAGCGTCCCCCCTTCGTCC